CCTACCCACTGATAAGGGGCTAAAGACTTGATACTTGATATACCATGAAGACATATAAATACCCGCTTGGGAAACAATCTAACACACTACGCATTGGTAACTTGCTTGACGATATGTGGCAGGTGCATGAATACTTCCATAAGTGGCAGCGTCAACGCTACAAAGACGGATTGCCGTACGTCAACTTTGAGGGCATGTGTGACCACGCGAAACATTTGAAAGATACGACACACCCGCATTGGCAAGCGTTGCCGTCTCAAGCGATCCAACAAGAGTTGAAGCGTATCCATAGAGCGTATGACCGATTTTTCAAGAAACTCGGTGGTAGACCGAAAATCAAAAAGCGACATAAGTTCAAATCTATCACCTTCCCCGGAGAAGCAGGGTGGTCTCTGAAAAATAATCGTATCACGCTGACTTTCCGTAAGTGGAATCCGAAGACGAGAAAATGGCAATTTGATAAAGTTGCATATACTTTCCATAAACACCGCCAGTGGCATGGCAGAATCAGTCGTATCACAATCAAACGTGACGCTTGTGGTGATTATTGGCTTTGTATAACAACAACCTATACAGATTTCAAACCTCTGCCGACAACAGGTCAAAGCGTTGGGGCAGACTTCGGCATGAAAGACGCGTACTTGACACTGAGCACGGGTGAGAAAATCCAACACCCACAACCTCTGAAACAATCCTTGAACAAACTTCAGTCTCTCAACAAAGACCTTTCTCGTAAAGTCAAAGGTTCTAACGGTTGGTGGGGGTGTGTGAGGCAAATCGCGCGCCTCTATCGGAAGATCACGAACCAACGCAAAGACTTTCACTGGCAACTGGCGACCGAACTTTGTAAGAAGTTTGATACCATTGCGATTGAAACCTTGAACCTTGACGGTATGAAACGCTTGTGGGGACGTAAAGTCTCCGATCTTGCCTTCTACCAATTTGTTGAGATATTGAAGTATAAGTGTCAAAAACATAAGCGTGAGTTGCGTCAAGCCGGTCAATGGACTGCGACAACGAAACCGTGTAGCGATTGTGGGTTTCATAACGAAACCCTAACTCTAAACGATAGGCAGTGGACGTGTCCTGAATGTGGTTCACACCATGATAGAGACATAAACGCTGCGATAAACATTTTGCGGGCAGGGGATAGCCGTTACCTAACGATATGCCTGTAGAAAACTACAGGGAAACGCCCGCGGGTGGAGCGACAGTCAGACGGTGGACTCTATGAGAAAACCGCAGTCGCTATGAAACCGAAGCCCACGCCTTTAGGCGTTGGGTGCTATCACGGAAACCTACCGTGTATCTACTGCCTTCCTTCTAAAACGTTGAAATAAGCGTCCAACCCCTGACGAAATTCCTCTGGCAAGACGCGTCCTGCTTTGCCTGTCGCCTGTCTGGGTGAACGATTTTCGATGAAGGCATTGCCGGTGTCATCCCCAATCCCCATGAGCATCAAGGCGGCAGCCGTTGCCGGGGGTGCAGTCATTATCATAGGCGTATTTGGGAGCCTTGCGGTTCGCAGTAGGATTTCGATCACTTCCGTTATAGCGGCAATCGCCTTTGGGCCCCGTATCCGGTTCCGCGAGGATGTCTTCTACCTCATCCATAACCACTGCAGCTTGCGTCACCTTCGCGAGTTGCTGTTGGATTAGACGTTCCTGTGCATTAGGTAAGAGACTGATTTGCGCTGCGACTTCATGGGTATCCTCAGTGAGGGTAATCTGCGTATCGTATAAAGCGATACTGCGTTCTGTGTATTCGTCGAAGGTAATTGCTTCCTTTGCTTGCTCAAGTTCGCGCGTCTCCTCCCGCAATTGGATCTCGCGATCAATGATACGCAACACTTCCAAGACGATTTCTGGCGGTAGGTTGGGTAGGTTAATTAATCCACCCTCTCCAGGAGGACCATCAGGTAGCGGATCAACTAATTGCTCTGCCCACCGATCCAGGGTATCCGCCCAAAATTCCGCCTCAATGGTAGATTGTCCGACGAAATTCTTGTTAATCGTTTTTGCTATGTCCTGCATCTGATTCGATACAAGCGCGTCCTGCATCTCCGAAAGCACACGTAAGTAGTTCGACGAGGGGCGGCGATCGGAATAAGCCACCATGTCTTGTACGATAGTAGACACGGCTTCAGACTCGTTGGTCTCCCGTTCCGCTAAACGTTCCCGATCGGATTGACTTTTTTGAGCTGCACTGCGTTCGAGACCGAAGCTATCGAGATTGTTCAGGTCCACCGCGATATCGATCTGTTTTCGCGAGGCGGCTTTCAATCGCTTCACAAAGGTGCTGTTTTCAAAGCTGACGAGCAACCTGCTCATCTCGTCTGCTAATTTAGCAAAAGCATCCAGCAATTCTTGCTGCTCTTCGACTGCTTCAAGGACGAGATCCGCTGCTTGAGGTGCCGGTGTCTCTTCGTCCTCTTGCTTTTCGCTATCCCTTCCGCTCCCCTTGAGGATAGTTGTAGGGATGCCGAGACCACCAACAATCTGGGGTGCCTGTCCCTCTCCTGCTTCTTCACTCTTGTTGAATCCTGATTCAACGTCACTGACGGTAGGCGTTGGGTTGGCAGGAGCAAAACCGGGTTTACCATCTGGCTGTTTGCTCCGATCTACACTGACCCCCTTGCCGGGATCGTTCGGGTCCTCTGGAGTTTCATCCAATCCTTCAGGCGGCACAATACTGTTAGGACCGTACTTCTCCACCTTTTCCGAGTTGTTGTCGTTAGGTTCGCCTCCGGTAGACGATGGCGCTCCCTGCGCTGATTGACCTCCCTGTGCTTCGCTATCGGTAGGTTCACCAGCGGAATCGGGTTTAGCAGGTGCCCCCGGTGCCTCAGCAGCACGCGAAAGCAAATCTGCAACAGAAGGCATTCTCTGTCCAGCGATTTCCTCTAACTGCGCAATTATATCTGTCCAGGATTCAAGTTGGTCTGCATCAAATTCCTCGTTCTTTGCTGCTTCTTGAACCAATTCCACGCCAGTATCAACCAAACTGTCAAGTCTTGCTGCGTTCGCACGTTCTGCGGCGGCCTGCTCTTGGATTCTCTTGCGCTGCGCTGGATCGTCAAGTTCTTCGGGTGGCAGGTCGCGTAGTTCGCGGTTGGTTTGGTGCAGCTGCAACTCTTTGTCATGGACATCCTTTGCGGCACCCGTCCAGAGCTGCATCTGTCCGACTAACCACTTGAAGTGTTCTGATGGCGTGAGCACGTGGAGGACGAGGTGAGACGAATAGACACGCTCACGGTCTGGTAGATAGTCTTCTGCATAGGCACGCAGTCGGAGACTCTGTGGTTTTACGCTCTCACGTTTCGGCGAAAATGTAGCAGCGACGGTCAGGGTGTCCGCTGTCGGTGTCCTGCTGACACTGTCTTCTCGCCGCTGGTGGGTTCGGGATTATGAATCGGATTCGCGATACCCGTCCATTCTAAGCCGATCCGTTTCACACCAAAATCGTCCGCTGCCTGAATCTCAAAAGCAAGCACTTCATTAGAAATGACGACCTGATTGTTCTTTAATTTGTTTAAAGCGACCGTTGGTGCTTCATCATTGAGTGCCTCGAATCGTAACACTTGTGGTTCACGTGCAGAGAGACCGAAGCGATCCCGCCATGTCAGTTGCATTTCTGTCGTCGTCTCTACCGATATCGGTTCGGTTGTCACGCGTGCACCATCCACCTTTTGCGGACGATTGTTCAAAGTTGCTTCTGACAGTTCACGTGTAGTGGTGGCTTCTAAGGTGGCGGTACTTCCCTTCACTAAGTTCACGGTTCCGCCGCGGACATCATCTATTCGTGGTTCTTGGCGTTGTAAATAGTCGGGCAATTGGACTTTAGCAGTGAGATCTTTTAGGGCAGGACGCAACTTGGGTTCGACTGGAATGGAACGCCGTGCGTCTCCGATTCTGAGTGCGACGCTTCCGTCCTTGGTTTGCGGGGGTAACTGAAATTTGTAGGATGCTCCGTCCCGTTCGGCAACGATGGGTGTCTGATCAGTGTATTGTGCCTCACCCGACTCAGGTTTCCATGGAGAATCATCTTTAAGACGGGCTTCAACATCGAAGGGTTCCGCGTATGCGACTACGCGACGGTCTTTGTTACCTGCCAACTGGGCAAAGGTATACCGCTCGACGTCCCGCCACGGCGTTAACCATCGAGCGAGTGTGTTCCGACTCGTTGCCGGAATCACAATGATCCCGATGACAACCAGTATTATGGGGACACCTGCCACCCATGCCCAGCGACGATGTCGAGGATTCGGGACGGCATCTGCCAGATTATGGTTTGCTACCTCGGCATCAACCTGCCGCATCGCTGCCTCAATTAAGGCGGGACTTGCCGATCTATCCGACCTATTGGAAGCGAGTTCCACGATGCCGAGTACGTGATCGCCAAAACGTGGAAATTTGTGCTGCAACAACCGAGCAATGCCTTCTAAACTCCGATGCCTCCACACCCAATTATAGTATTTCAGCGGCAAAAAGAACACCATCCCCACCATACCAGTGAGTAGGATCAGTACCCGCAAAAGCGTAGGCGTATCAAACACACGGTCTAAGCCAAACACAACAAGATACGAAATCATGATACCGAAGATCGCCGCCAGCGTCCCTTCGGCGAGTTTGATGATCCACACACGTTTCTGGTAGTGTTCAAGTGCCGCCTTCATACGTGGAGGCAAGTTGACTGCATCCTTTTGTGGGCGCGATTTTGCTTGTGTTTGGTCCATGAAAAATCTCCTCGTATGGGTTATCGGTTATAAGTTGTCAGTAGGCGTTGCCAGACAGTTTATTTTTCTTCAGAAAGGTATTATTAGCAGGACTTACGCAATTTACGTTCGTCGCTACTATGTTCTGCAGGGTCCCCGTGCCCTGCATGCGTTCAGGTTCGGATGGGCACTAAAGCCGAAGCCATCCATCCCAACAGCGTTTTGATGCGTAAGTCCTAATTAGTTTTCAGTTGTCAGCTGGTGGGATTTCAAACCCCTATAACAACTATACCCATCCATCATCAACCATCAAGGTCAATGGCGATTCCATCTCTTCAAGGGGTAGATGAATCCGCTGCCGTTTCCGGGACGACTCATAGATCGCCATAAGGAGTTCTAAAGAGGCGTATCCTTGATGACCACTTGAGCGGTGTTCTCGATCCTCCTCGATGGCTGCAATCAGGTCTTGTACAGGGCTAATTTCCGAAGGTAATTCTGTTGTCACCCACGCGCCTCCGGATTGCTGGTTACGAATACGGAGCGCCGGTCCACCTGGAGCCGCCAGTTCTATTTCACCTTCTGTCCCATAGCAGTAGATATGGTGATAACCCGGGGCGGTGTCGCTACCGGATTCAATGATACCTCGTACATTGTCTTCAAATTTGAAATAACCGATCGCGAAATCTTCAGAATGCAGATCATATTTGGTCGGCGTGCCGATTCGTTCGATTTGACCTATCACCCAACTAACCGGACGATCACCGTATATAAATCGCATAAGATCAACGGTATGCGTCGCATTGTCCTTCAGGTCGCCACCGCCACAGACACCATGAATCCGAAAGATTTCACCGATCTCACCGTCGGCAATCATCTGTTTTGCGACGACATAAGGCGCATTGAACCGCAGCTGATGGTCAATCGCTAATTTCACACCGTGCTGTGAACACGTCTCAAGCATCTCCCGCGCCTGTCCGAGATTTTCTGCCATCGGTTTTTCAGAAAGAATCCCTTTCACACCGCGTTTTGCGACTTCAATCGCGACCGGCGCATGGTGTTTCGGGCGTGTACAGACCGAAACAATATCAATATCTTCTGTCTCAAGCATTTCAATGTAATCGGTATACTGCTTTTCGACCTCGTATTGTTCGCCGTAGGCTTTCACGCGCGCTTGGTCAATGTCGGAAATTGCAGTTAGCGTTGCTCTCGGTTCCTTCAAATACCATCCAGTGTGCATGTGAGAGATACCACCGCAACCGACTATTGCCACTTTATAGTTTTTGCTCATTGTAGTAAATTCCTTCTGACTCAGAATTGGTCGTTGGTTATCGGCTTGACTTCCATATTCACTTTTTGATGGTATATAATACCACGTTTTACCGAACGTGTCTATTTGATTTTAGGTAAACCCAGGGCTATTTAGTTTTCAGTTTTTTCAAGCATTTTGCTCCAAAGACCGCGAATACAGCGTGCTTCTACAAGAGAACTGAATTACACCGCGCCGTTCATTTTTCTTGCAACCCAAAACGCTCCAAGTAGAAAGACTAAGATGCCCGCCCAGATTGGGTGCGCCCATATCCGCGTGCGATGGACAGTCGGTGCTGGCTCCGGCAAGGCTGCGAGATGCTCCAGTAGACTCGGCACTTCAGAAACCGGTACCAACTTGCCCTCGGTAATCTTAGCGATTTCGTCCAATACATCAAAACGTGCCAAACGCCCTTGTTGTTCCCGATTCAAACCTTGCACTGATAGATCCGTCTGAATAGAGGCACCGGTTTCACTACTACTCGCAACGAGGCGATAGTTACCGGGCTCTTTTGGCACAAACGAACCCACGAACAACCCTGCCAGATCCTCTGTGCCGGGTTGAAGTCGAATTGTCTGCGTCTTGCCCGATGGCGAAATCGCTTGTACCACAACCGAACCGCTATCTAAGGGACCGCCCACGTTATCAATAGCGTTGGCATTTAACGTCAACACGTCATCAACGTTGGGTCGGTCGGGTGAGTAAAACAATCGTATTGCTTCGCTTTGTGCCATCTGTCGTCGGTATGCCATCCACCGCGCGACTTGACTCCAAAAGCGATAGTGGTACCTATCCTCAACACCGTGCCGCCAACGCCAAGCACTGTCTGTCCCCATAAACAATACTTTACCGGTGCCGTACGTTTTGGTCACGATTAATGGCACTCGTCCGGAAGCAGTTGCGACTTGATCGTGCACTGCCAGCGTCTCGGTGCCAGCCTTGGCTCGCTTGACTCCGGTGTACCAGAAAAACCCGGGCAACTTACGCCACACTTCGCCATTATCTTGGTCAGTATCTCCGAGGCGTGTTAGCAAACTGCGCTGCCCCGATGCAGTAAGTGCGAAATATCCCTGCATATTCGAGCCAACACCTTGAGGTGTTGCTGGGTCCAAAACCACAGGATAGAGGTCGGCAAGCGGGCCGGGAATCAACGAATCGTGGGATCCTGAGCGTCCCGGCATAAAGACGAGACCTGAAGCTTGGGCACTGACTAACTTCCGTAATTCCCGTGTTTGTTCGACTGTTAACTGGTCTTCTTTCACACCGACATCGCCAAGAAACACTACGTCATAACGACTCAGTTCCCTCGCGTCAGGAAAACGTTTAATATAAGTGCGACCGCCGCCGACATTTGGCAACTCCGGATGAAAAAGGAGGCATGTTACTTCAACGCCGGGATCCCGTTCTAAGGCGTTCCGTAGGTATCGGTACTCCCACCGCGGATACGATTCGATGACAAGGACTCTCAATTGTTCCTCGCGTATGGATATCGGGGCGGAGATCTCATTATTTTCGGGGATCAATTCCTCAGCGTCCGGTGCGATACGCAGGTTTAACGTATAGTTCTCTGTCGCTGGTGGTGTCCAGACGATGTTATCTTGCGCTTGGCTCATAGCGGGACGCGAACAACCTTGGTAACCGTCGCCTCTTTATTGACCCTTAGGGTAACACTCACATCCCGGTCCTGTCCCAAGGTGCTACGGACAACAAACGGAATGCGAAGCTGCTTATTTGTCACCCCAAAAGTTGGCGCATCCATCCTGACTAACTCGATATCCGGTAGTGGTACCTTACTACCGATTCCTATTGCGAAGACGGGAATCCCTTTCATCCGAAACCGTGTGGCTGCCTCCACGGGGGAGTTACCGATATTCCAATCGCCGTCTGACAGAAGCACTACGCCGCGAAGATTTGCATGGTTGTCCAGAACGTGTGACAGTCCAGCATTCAAATCTGTTGCTTCTTCTGCTGGGTCCAACTGTGAAGAGAACGGCTCAAACACCACATTAAGATCAGTAGTATCAGGCGATTTCCAGACTTCCTCGGACATCAGCGGTTGAATCGTTTCAGCGCGGCTCTTGCGTTCGCCGGAGAGGTCTTGATCGTCAAAGACATCCCGCGTCTCCATACTTTTAGATTGGTCCCAGAGCACCGCGAGCGTTGAACGTCGATCCGGCGGTTGTGTCTTCAACCATTCGGGTTGATTCAGCGTGACAACCACTAAACAGACCAGTACAAAACGCAGCAATTCAAGCCACCCTGTTTGCATGCGATAACCGCTGCGATGCCATGCCAACCAGCACAGGACACCGGCCACAGCCACGATAAACAGTCCTAAGACCATAATGGAATTGCTTGAGAGAAATTCGAGGCTTCCCTGTTGTTCTTGCATTCTTGTGTCTCCAATTATTAGCCATCAGCAATCAGCGGTCAGCAATCAGCAAAGAAGCGTCTGACTTAATCAGAAACCTTTTAACTGACTGCTAACAGCCGACAGCCAATTGCTACTCCGCCCTTCCATCCGCGCCTGCAAGGTCGATTAGAGGGCTGCTCTCAGTTTTCCGGCTTGGCAAACTCAGGACTGCCTCTAAAATGAGTGCTAACGCCATTGCGATGAGGAAGATACGCCAGAGTTCACTCGCTAAGGCGGATGTGTCTCCGACATCAACATCAATTCTTCGGTACGACAGTCCATCAAACAGCGTATCCACCGTCTCAACAGGCGATGTCTTGGCATTGTCCTCAGCTTGGCTGCGGTTCACGGCTACCCAATATTCACCTTCACGATAGACACCCGCATGCAATTCACGCTGTGAAAGGGACGCTGTATTCTCAGCAGGAGCTACCGACTCCCACTGATCTCGGTCTGCAAGCACACCAACTCCGGCATCGCGTTGCGCTGCGGCAGTCAACGCGAGACACCCTTCAGTCAATGCCCGCTGTAGCATGACATAAAACACTATACCGTCCCGTTCAAGAGAAGAAAATTGTGCTGTGGGCAGCGTACTACAGAAATAAATTGCCCCGTGATCAGTAGGCACACGAGTTAATAGAGGGGTATCATCGTCAAACCTTGCCAATGGTGTTCCAGTACTCTCAAGGGTTCGGTAACGATAAGTGCGGAGTCCGTTCAAAGGCAAGGCATCCCCGCTCTCCGCATGTGCCAGTAGATCGGCATCGCCACGCCACGATGCGACTTTGGAGACCTCCTTACCGTCAGCGGACTGCCAGTCGCCCCAGTGTGAGGCAAACAATTGTTCACCAGCGTTCTGCGCCGGTGGAAAGAACATAACCACACGTCCGCTGTTGACGAAGTGCGCAATCTGTTCCGCCACCAATCCACTCGGTAGTGCCCCTTGCCAGATCAAAAGTCCCGTACTTTCCCAGTCAATCTCTGCGACTCGGTTCACGGGAATCACATCTGCGTGGTGTTGTAGTCGGGGATCCAATGGAATAGCAAGTGCCCGACGGAACGCTTCGCCGATCCTTTTATCATCACTGACGACAACTGCCTTTCGCACCGGTGGTTCTGAAAAGACAAAGAAAAAACCGATTATCCAACGGGTTCGCATCACCGGGTAAACTCACGGATCCCCAACCTGAGCTGAGTTTGGCATCAATAGGGATACGATGTCCTTGTAAAGAGGCACCGAGTGTGTCAAGCTCCACTTCAACGACAGATTGGACGTTGTTGACTTCAAACTCAATCGGGACTCGCCGCGTGCCACCGCTATTCCCGTTTGTCCGCACCATTACATCAAGAATAAGTTCCGCATCATTGCCACGTTTCCACCGTTGCACGTTTTCCACTCTCACCGACAAGTTACTTGAAGGCGGATCTGTGTATGCCAGTAAGAAATAATGGACACCCTCTAACTGGACAAACGCTTCGCGTATCGCGTTCCAACGACCACTGTGAACATCCCAATCATTCTCGTTCAAGTCCGAACAGATCCATATTTCGGCGCGTCCCGATTCATTAGCCTCGAGATACGCTAACGCCGTTTCAAGCATACTTGGGATATTTGCGCTGGTGGCACTCGCACCGGTGATAGGTAGGTTCAATAGAGCCTTCGGTGAATCCACTTCCTGCATCTGACCGCTGGCACTATCAATGAGAAGCAAGTGAGTTCCGTAATCCCCTTGCTCCAACAATTGTGCGAGTCTTTTCAGTGCGGTGGATCTTTTTGATTCACCTGCCTGCAGGTCTTGCATTTCCATACTGGCGGAGCGATCGAGAAGAATTAGGGTGGCATCAGGTTTACTCAATCCGACGCTTCCTAACCATCCACCGGACAGTGGACGGCTAATGGCAAAAATCAAAGCCCCGATAGCGAGTACGCGCATCAGTAGAATAAGAAGGTGCCGAAGGCGTGCCATACCTCTGCTCATGCGCTTCGCATGCATAAGGAACATCATCGCTGCCCAAGGAATCGTCCGGTGCCGTTGCTGATTGATTAGATGGATGATGATCGGCAGTGCCATCAAGGGAAGCGCGATTAATGCTAACGGTTGTAGGAAACTCATTGCGTCAATCCTTTTAAATAGTTGTCAGTTATCGAAAGAGTGGTTATCGGTTATCAGTTATCGGTTATCGGTTAAAGAGGTTGTTGACTTAACCAAACGACTTCTTAACCGACAACCGAAAGAAAATCTGCGTAGCTGATTTCCGTACTGACAACTGACAACTATTCCTCACTTGTGTCTTTTGGGTGTCCGTCCCAACAAAAATCGTGCCAATATGTCCCCGTGATCCTCGTGGATGCAGATACGATGATAGTCAACCTCGGTGTCGCGAACAACCTCGTCCATACTCTCAAGGTATATTTCCATCGCGCGTCGGTACTGTGCACCGATGACAGTCGGATCTGCGAGTATAGGTTCCCCACCTTCCATGTCAACAAATCTCATCGGACGATCGAATTCAAAATCCAGTTCGTTCTGCTCCATGAGATGAAACACGGCGACATCGTGTTTACGGA